TGTCCATTTTTCAAGTGTGGCGAGCAACTGGGCAACCTCATCAGCTTTGCTATTATCTATAATAGATTTGTCTACGCGACGCATCATGGCATTTGCCTTACTAATATGCTTCTTTAATGCGCGCTTAAGGCTATCCTTTGGTCCGTCATTGCGTTGCAATTGATTTTGGGTGGGTGGGCGTGTAATACTATTGCGGGTGCTTGATGTAGTACTGTTTGTATTTTGGACAGCTGCTAACCAATCCTTTAGGGATGGTCGCACTGTGATGTTGCTCACCGCCTGCTCGACAAGGAACATATGTTTGCAGGGAAAGTAGTGTTTTTGGTATTGAGGGCACGAGCAAGAAACAATTTGGCTACTTTCAGTAGTTATCTAAGGATAAACAATGTATCCTGTTAATCAAACAATCAAATGTATGCTAGTCAATAACACAGGTTACATACCGTATAAATAATACGTTCATTTGTGAACGAGGTACACAAGTATTCTCTGGATGAGAATTGTTGAACCATGCTGCGCAGTTTTGTACGCTCGATAGCTTCTGCTTTTATTTCTTGTTCGCGCAGAGTATGCTCGTATGCACCCATACGACCAACATTAGCGAGCAAGCGTTTGATTTCCTCGATGATGTCAAATGCAACGTCTTTAGCTAATACATGGATCAGCAAGTCCAATCGATGGATTTTCTTGCGCTTCAGGTAATGCGTTTTGAGCTGGTTATGCCAAGACTCGACGTAGTTGTTTGTTTGCATGTTGCTAAAGGCTTCGGGCTGGAAACATGCTGCCCAGCGCTCAACACCTTCACCACCAACGCTGTCTATCCACTGTCGTTGGAAATAAGACACAAAAATAGCTTGAGATGCGCCAAAGTCAGAAAGGAAAGCATTGAGGAGGCGTCTGAAACATGCTTGATCGTCTTCATACATTAGGGCTGTCAAACGGTCCCTGATGATAGCTCTAGTCTCCTCTGCTGACTGTGTGTCTGTTTCGACTACTTTTGCTTGCACGTTCTGCATCCAAGCGCGCATAACGTGCCAGACACAGAACTGGATTGTGCAGTTAGGCCAAACTTGACTGATCGCATTATTTTCGGGCAAACTACAATCGATGGTGATGCGTGAAGGATTGACACCAAGAGACGCCAAAGAGCGGAACCAGTCGGCCAATGGGGCAGCAGAGAGGTCGTCAGTTATCATATATGCAACAGGTGCACCTCTGCCCGCGATTGGATGCCGAATAACCATTGTATAGAGTACACCATCATTGTAATGGCATACGTCATGAGTGGCGTCCAAGGAAACGAACTCGGCACTGCAGAGAAGCGTCTTTTGCCATTGTGAAAGGAAGCCAAAAGCGAAACCGTCTACACCAAGAAGCCTCTGGGAAGGTGAACCGTCTTCAGTACCGATCCATACATGGTACCCTTCAGATTGAAGGTCGTCAAGCCATTTTTTTACGGAGACAAAGTCGTCCTTGTCCTTGGCGCTTTTTTCTTGCCGGATTTTGAAAAAGATGTTGTACACATCAGTGGTTGTAATATATGCTGCACGCTGATTCTCAGGAGCGTCATGATATTCATGCTGCAGAAATATACGAACATCCCGGACGTTGTATCCCTTGCAAAGTTCCTGGCGGATGGACTCCTTCACTTCCTCCGAGTTTGGCAAATACTGGACATCTTGAATGCTACCAGGAGTATGCCCTGTGTGCTCACCTTTAAACTTTAACACAACTTTGGTGGTATCTTTGAAATAACAAGTGCAAGCAAATATGCTTTGCAGCCAGCTTGCTTGGACTTCTTTTGGATTAGACGGCGTTTGATCCCATTACTGCTGCTATCAATATGTGCGCCTGCCAGATCTATCTGTTCTTCCTGCTTTTATCCCTGCTGTCCGCCTGGTCAGCACGGTGACAAAAGTATCGCGCAGTCCATAGAACTCTTGGCTGAACATTACGCCTTTTCGCCGGATGTTCATCTTCATTCTCTATATGTTATGCTTAGTGCCGTGCAACATTACTTAGTCTGATCATATGGGATAGGATTGTTACCAGTGCGTTCCTTGCGCTCAAATCTACTGGTACTATGATGAGCATAGCACTCGCCAGTTGTTTGAGGGAGTCTGCTAATAACAGCCTCGTATTCTTCAATACCAACGGTCTGCTCTTGGTTTGAACGGGGAGGAATGAGGAGAGGGTTGGACGATTGCTGATCGCTCATGTTGCAAATAGAATTAGATTTCGAGATCGAGATTTAAATGAGAGATGTAGACAGGTGGAGCGGACACAGCTTTGACGCGCGACTTTGTATAAAAAGGTGACACAAGTTAGTTACAGCTCGATGTGTACGCCTTGTGGGTGGTTTTCATAAACTTTAGAGATAAAGAGCAACTCTTTTAAATATATAATATATAAGCTTGATGCTGTAATAACTATGCATGCCCATATTAGAGGTGCAATGCTTTGCATGCTTACTCCCTTTATTTCCCAAATATCCCAATATATTGAAGTCTTTTTATAGCAAAGAATGTCTTTATTCCAAACGATTTATGTCGATCCAATGCTTACTTCCATCGTGTACAAAGCAACTACACTGGTGATGGATAAGGCCGTAACGAACGGATCCGATCATCGTTGCTACATTGATCTCGTATTTGTGTGGATCATTGTTGCAAGGTTGAGATACAAAGGCTGGATGCTGTGATGGCCGATCCATAAGGTAGGTCGTTGTGTAAGAAACAAAAAGCATACTTCGATTCCATCCAATGATGTATTGACGTCCATCCCACAATAGCATCCCTTCCCTTTAGCTCCATGCCTACAATATCATTTCGTTTTCGTGCAAATGTGCAAGTGATCGTATGTATATATGCGTATTTGTATGTGCCGTACAATGTATGGATCGTGTATGTATAGCGATCGTGTTCTAACGTGTGGTGCAGGGTATAACATAAACGCGGCGCAGAACCTATAGAAGTAAGAAATCAAACCTACAAGTGCTAACTTCATATACAACATATCTTATTCCCTTCCATAGCTTGTCAGTTTTCTACAATGAAACAAACCTTAGGTATCAGCAGTGCTTGTGGGTACTTGATACAGTGGATGGACGGCAAGGGCGAGTTGAGAGCAGGCAAGAAAAGTGTTAAATATCTTTACTACAGTCTATAAAGAATAAACGAAAAAGACCCTCGCCCTGACCTCTTCCTTTTCCATCAACTAATGAGTCTTGATTCCTGTGATTAAATAAGAGTTCAAATGATTCACCAACGATGCCGCTACCAGAAATGCATTCACAATGTGCTTTTGCAACGCAAACAAAGAGCAAGTGTGTGGTAGTTTCTTAACCGCGTTCTGTAAAAGCAAGGAGAGAAAAGCTTTCACAATTCGTACCAAGTTGGTCAAGCAAATCGTTCGAGTAAAATGAGTTGTGTGCCAATGCCAACGATGCTGCTTCGATTGATCCCTTCAAAATGAGTGTTTCTCAACAATGAATACGTTCTAAAGAAACATTAAGAAAGCAACCATCGTGTTTGTTGTTATTACCGCGTTACATAGAATAAAACAAAGAAATAGCACTTTTCATTCCTTTTCACCCCTCCATTTAAAACCGTTACCTTTTGAATTAGGTCAAGTTGTTGGCATTTTCATGTGGATCTGCAATTGGGAACGGTTTCTTTGTTGCTTTAGAGAATGCTCTCAGATGAGCTGAAACAAAAACGTTTTTATAAAGGAATATAAGGCACTTGGTAAAATTCTCTTCCCCTCAAATGCCCCTCTGCTGCCCAGTACAGTGTCTCTGGCGGCTGACCTTAAAATTCAAAAAAATTGAGGGGGGGGGGGAACTACCAACTCTTATTTTTGTGCCGGAATAAGGGAGTTGACCAGAGTGCTTGTGAGAGTGAGGGTTAACTCCGATCTTGTATCCTGGTGATGTGGTTTTGGCATGGTGCGAAGCAGCAGCAAAGCCAGCCTTAGAATAGACCTCTGCTACTTTTATTTTACCCCACATTGGTTTCAAGGTTGGCTCTCCTCGGTGTCAGCAGTAGTCCTTTAAGGACGCCCTAGCGAAAGCAGTAGGATCGTAGATTGTCATGTGTGCTGGATTTATCCCCATGCATGGACCATTGCAAGTAGCATATGCCTTCATCATGTTATGCCTGTCCGGCTTCAAGGCAAGTATCTTTATTACTTCCATTTTATACATATCATATCAACTAACTTCTATTCCTGGTATCGGATGCATGAGATCTGTTGTCTGATATTATCAGCGAAAGCATGGCAAAGGCAAAGGAATCGGTTGGCTCTCCCAAGTGTCAACAGTAGTTCTTTGAGGACGCCCTAAGTGAAAGCAGTGGGATCGTAGATTGTCATGTGTGCTGGATTTATCCCCATACATGGACCATTGCAAGTAGCATATGCCTTCATCATGTTATGCCTGTCCGGCTTCAAGGCAAGTATCTTTATTACTTCCATTTTATACATATCATATCAACTAACTTCTATTCCTGATATCGGGCGCATGAGATCTGTTGTCTGATATTATCGGCAAAAGCATGGCAAAGGCAAAGGAATCGGTTGGCTCTCCCAAGTGTCAACAGTAGTTCTTTGAGGACGCCCTAAGTGAAAGCAGTGGGATCGTAGATTGTCATGTGTGCTGGATTTATCCCCATGCATAGACCATTGCAAGTAGCGTATGCCTTTACCATGTTATGCATTTCCAGCTTCCGTGTGGTTTCTTTTCCCTATTGCATCATGCACGATTTTTATCCCTTGCGATTACAACATGTATAGCCGAGAATGAGTACTGTCGTATCCTTGGAGCACTTGCCTGCACGATTTCCTAGGAGACACCCAATCACAAGAACCATCTTCCCGTATCTTTCATACATGTAGAAAACCTATCGCTGTACCATTTATACATATGAATGCTACATAATGTCTTACGCAATATACAAAGCACCACAGGCTTCAAACCAACCGTGCGCTTAATAACATGTAATTGCCAATGTTGACATCCATACTTATTTGAAATGAGCTGTTGATGTCCTCTATTATACATCCTATTAATGGAACTCTGGGTCCAGGCTGTTAGGATATCCATCATGCACAAGGACAAAACACCCACTACCGTCTTATGGTATACCTAATATTTGCAACGAAGGCTCAGCTTCGTGGCTTGAACATCGATCTCAGAAGAGATTCATCTTTTGCTCCTTTGTGTATTATCTTATGAGCAAAGTGGACAAAGTCTGGTATTTTATTCAATATTTGACATGATTATGTCGCTTGCGATCAATGGTCTTTTCAATGACATGATCAAGGTTTTCAGCAGTGGGACTAACTCTGTTGCGTTTGCTAATGATTATCATCGCGGATGCATCGGATTGCTTGCAATGATGGTAAAAGTGATGGGTGACATTCTTGATTTGGCTAAGGCTCGTAAGATATGCAGGAATGTCCTTGATACATAATGGCATTCTGATTGTGACAAGCTCTTCCATCAGATACAGACCATCGGCCTTGAGTTCTATAAGATAGTATGTCAAATTTGGACCTAGAGCATTGAGTTAAGTATGGATATTCTTTTAAAAGAGAAGAATTCCCAAGGATTTACTAACTACATATATGCCAAGGCTAGCTTGTAACTTGTGTTCATCAATTGTATCTTTGCAGAAGTGTCCAAGTCGCAACAAGTCCATATTTGTTTGATAATGGTTGTCGTATTCAGCAGCCGATTTCACTTCTCCCTATTTAATGCTGATTTCGAAATTATTGTCCATCAATGTTGAAATGATACAGTCGGGCCGTCGATTTGCCAAAGAAAAGGATCGCTTATTTGCAGGGACAGTGGTTGGCCTAAATCAGAAGGTGCTCGTTAAATAAAAAGATACCATATACGTTGTAATAACTTACCAAAGTATTTGGGTGTTCGTCTCATCATCATCGAATAAAGGTTGCAAGGCTGGTGCCAAATATCGGGTGCAATAGTTATTTTCTGATGTGTCGTTCATGACGTGATCTGAGGGCAAGGATAGACATCTAATAATATGTCATAAGCACACAATTCATCCATACTACAAGCAAGACTTACAATTGATGGATGGACATGATAATCTTTTTATCCAGGTCGTCAATATCCAGATCGTCAACTGCACTTAACAAACTCGTGATCTTGGCATACGTATCCAGCCTGCTTCGCCTTCCATAATAAAAATCCTACATACAAAGACACGTAAGCCCAAAATGATGATATAGTGAAGGAATAAAGAATGGCGTGTTTCTCTTATTTGATAGCTTACCCAAACAATTTCCATCAATTTGACCATCACATTGTTGGGGAACTTGACTGTTGTATCAAATGGTCGAAGCAATTTTTTCACAAGGTCATTGTTGAAGAACTTTCTTGATTCAGGGTGCATACGACCTTTGTTCACCAATAAAACCGATGCAAGAGATCTATAAAAACGTTAGCGACTGATTGCGAAAATTAAATACAACATACTAACAATAGATGATGAATGTCACGTTCCATCGTCAGTGTGGTGGCCTTTATACGATCCAAGACGAACAATTGATACTCATAAAATTTCATAATACGTCGATGGCGTCGATGATCAACCGGTCAGATGCAATGGGTGCACGAACATTCTGTGAAATAGAACTCAAAGGAAATTCTTCTGTATTACTGGATGGCGGTGATATGTCGTTGGCTTCGGAGTCACTGCTGGTACAAATAAACACACGTTGAATGAAAAGAGAAAGTGGATGTGCCGTTTTTTGTTTCTATACCTTGTAGTTTCAATATTTGATGTTGAAGCACGATTGCATTCGTCTTCTTCATCCAAATCGCCATCAGCCGAGCGCTTTGCAGGAACTAAAAAGTATGTTCAATCATTATCTGATGTTCGTGGAGAGTAGAGATCAAGAAGCATACTTGTAGAACTAGTTGCATGAATTACTCGTTGACCTTCCGCCGCCGCTGGCTCTGCAGATACCACCAATAAGTCGAGCGCTTGTTCTTTGAAGGTATGTGCCAAGTTCCTCTGCAAATACATAAAGTTATCAGCAACAAGCGTCAAATGAAATATCTATTAGCACATACCCTCCTGTTTACTTCAACCATGATTGTGTCCCATCGCAAACGATCATATGCAACTTTTTTGCTGCTGTGGAACCACATTGGATGAGTATCAATCTAATGTGAGCAACTGCTCTCTCACCTCTGAATATCTCTGTTGTCGTCTTCAAGTAGTTCCTTGTACCGATTGAGCCAGATCCCATGAAGACGTGCTGCGCTATTTGCCACTAAACCGACCGACCATAGTGCAATGTCATTTTGGTGTTCTCTGATAAAGCTTGGGAATCTTGGACACCTGTGCGTTTGTAGAAAGTCTTTCAGCTCTAAGCAACGCATTAGTTGTTGAACGTATACTTTGATTGTGACGATTCCAGTATTACCGTCTTCTCCCGGGTATGCTGACATTGTAGACGACAAAGAGCAGAAGCTCCCCAGCTACAGGATTATGCATACATTTTCTGCTACTGGGCTGACATTGAAAGTTGGCATATGGGAGTACAGCTATTGGTGGATGGGAAGAGTTGCTTCAGTAAATGGTGCAACAGGTATTCGTAAATGGACAGCAACATGTGCCAAATATCAGTCATTCCCAAAATACGAGACAACAAGATGTATTATTCAACCGCTACTGGTGCCGTAGCAATCCTTTTGCCATTTAGTTACTATCTATTCCCCACATTTTCCTTTCTTTGTCACCTCCATCATTACAACGATATCTATTCCATCTTCGTGTGTCACAATCCATAAACCAGCGTCATAAAATGCGCAATGTGCCAAGCATTGCAAGTTGGCTTTTCATATTTCTACCTTGGAGCAGCCCAATATCTTAAAAACTATATGCGCAAAAGGCTTTATATTCAAATTGATAGGGTATGGGCGAAACATATATAATTGTACCGTTCTATTTTTGGTTTCTGCTATCATAATCATCCTTCATCCTCCATGATTGCAAAATAGCTGCTCCATGCATTGAATCGCGTATTTTGATACCACCCATGGCTGTACAACACCTTTCGTCATAGACATAAGTTCTTGACTCGATTCCATCCAATCCATCATCATCCTCAGCCGCATCCACGTGATATGATCCATCTTCCCTGTTGACAACGCGACAAATAGGCAAAGCGACATTCAAGTACTTCTTCCTCATCGCTGCACTTATTGCATCCATACATCCATAACATTGCAAATCCAATATGTTGGTTGAAAAGAGCCACGTGATCGCTTGCTGATGTACTTTCTTTTTCCCATCCGGCTGTTGATCCATCTCTTTCTTGGTCACTTTCTATTGCAGCTCAACCAGGTGGAGATTGCTTGTATTGCGGTGTACATGATAGCTGATATGGCACACCATCCATTGGAATCCATGTGCACCAAAGTATGTTGTTGCATGTAACTTGAGACAATGGGGTCAAAGCCTTGCTAATGCAACTGCTGTTGCATTTGGTTGTGGAGGAAGAGAAGTGTTCAAGACCTGAGCTGTAGTAGAATGACAAGGCTGTGAACGCTGTTTGTGACAATGAAGAACTTGCTGATAGCAACTGTTGCAATGAACGCTGTTATGTTTGGTTATGGTAGACGAGAATGCAAGACATTGTGTGTAGTATCGAGAAAGGCGTGTGTTGTAGTAGAGTGACAGGAAGGCTGTGTACACGCCATGAACTCGCCATTCATTTCCGGCTGACGATGTATCAAGTAACTGAAAAGACATTCCAACTTGATTGTATCCATCCACCCATCATAACCATTGCAAGCTCAAAATGTTGATTGAAAGTGCCATGCGATTGCTGCTTCCTT